CTGCGCTTCAGTTTTTGTTTTATTTAATAAACATTTGAATTTTCCTACTGACTGTCTCTCCTTGAATACTGGGTCCATCTGTCCTCGGTTCATGACAATAAATGAGCTAATAATATTTATACCTACCCAGAGAAAAACATAAGAAGCTGCAAACAACCTGAAAATCATTTCAGTTTTGTGTTCAATGCTGGGCCAAACTTTCAGTTTATAGAAATTATTTTTCTATCCTTCCACATTTGTTAGGTCAGGTATTTGTCATATTGATGTCTGGAGTCTGTGCATTCCTGTAAGGTTCTTTATTGACCTTCTGCATCGGCACATGCAGAAGCAGGAAAGTACTATCTCAAACTGTTTAGACTGTTTAATCTGCGACAAACTGTTAGATTGCTGAAACTGTTAAATGTGCTGTAATAGGACTCCTTCCACTGAAACTAAAGGGCAAAGCCAAACTCCTGACAAACCGTCCTGGTAATCTTCCCTGCACCAACATTTACACTTTAAACAATACAATCAGGCAACTTCTATTCTATTGGTAATAGCCAAACAAAGACTTTCCTATCACCTTTATAATAGTCTTGGTTTGCTTGACATCCTTACATGCGACACTTTACATAACACCTGCTGATGTATGGCTTGGATGGAGCTGCTCAACCATGAACTGCTTTTAAGTTAAATGTGAGGTTTGGTTGTCCATAACTTTGGACTGTGCAGAATGTTTGCAGACCTCTGGTGGGAGATGTGGAACCATCAATTCATCTCTATGTCATGTCCTTGTTATACCCACACTGAAGTGAAATTGTGCAGACTGGACTCAGCTGGTTCAGTGGCTGAGCAGAAAAAATACAGGACATTGAGATTACTTGACGGCTCCACATCTCCCTTTGGGTACAATGCCCTACAGCTTCTACAGATCCCACTCTTTCATTTGAGGCGGCCATTCTGGCAGAGTTCCTGTTCCCAGTTATTCCAACTATATTGTAATTTCAATAAAAATTTATTTTACAATATTTAGCAGCAAAAAATTATAACAGTTACCTGCCAAGGCCAGCTATGGGGACGAGCATCCTCTCCATTCACAATCCTACTGGTGTCAGGTGTTACAGCAGGTAAACCACACCCAAAAACTAAGTAAAAATGTGGAAATACATATTCAATGACAGATTCCTGTAACACTTTTGTCAGAATGTGTTAATTGATAAAAGCAGCCAGATACTTACTGAACACTGCCTGAAGCAGAACAATGATCAGGGTCGCTAACATGGCTTGGGTGTAGAAAATAAAAAAAAAAGAAACTCTTTTCTGCTCTTTTATATCTCTGTTTTTCTGACAACTCAAACCCTTACGTTGCTGTACCTGGTAAGCAGCCTTATCTAACTGTTGATTGTGGCTGAGAAGGACTCCCAGTTCAACAGATGCATCAGGTTTTCTGCCAAAAATGAGCCTCATCAAATGGTAGCAGTGTACGGTCTGCTACTCTTTCTATGCATTAAGGAGACACCTTCTTACCTACAGTACAATACAGAGCTTTGTGAATGTATATTCCAGTTAAACTTTTTTCTTCTTTTTTATTATCAAAAACATCAATACATTTACAAAAACACAATCATCTTATAAAATGACACGCATAAGTGTAAATTGGAGGGGAACGATAAAAACAATCATTTTACTGCAATGACTGCTGCAAATCTTTTCAGGATTTGAGTCTGGTAAATCCAAATACTGAAAAATGTTGTTTTGTTTCTTCTCACCAGGCAATCAAGTATGCATTTTTGTATATAACAGCGTTTGAGACTGTGTAAATGATATGAATCAATAGCCAAGGCATAGCTGATTAGCACCCCACACCAACCATCACAAACATATACACCCCACTTCTTTTTCCTTCACCTTCTCACTGCGTCCCTCCAAGTGCTCCAATGCGCACTCCCTCAAGTGCACGCAAAAGTTTGGGCTTCAGCGAGTGTACATGCAGAAGCAGTGGCACTTAAGATGGACTCCTATAAAAGGATTCACTCAGGAGTTTGAAAGAGGAAATAAAACAGGGAGATAGAGAAAGAGGTTGCAGTGAAAGGCAGCTGTAACTATTACAACTTAGACTTAACTCTGTTGGAGTATTTACAGTGTAATAGATCATGTCAAACAAAAATTTGAAGTTGTTCATGTTTATGTTTTGTTTTGTTTTACAGGCTAATTATTAAATTAACTGAATGGTAATTCAATCAATTGGCCAAATTTACATGTTAAAGGTGTACCCCGCCTCTCGCCCATAGACAGCTGGAGATAGGCACCAGCACCCCTCGACACTCCACTTGGGATAAAGATAATGGAAGGATGGGATTTCCTCTTTTTATATCTGGTTTTTGCTGCTTTAGTTTTAAAACCAAACACATTTAATTTGTTTTTGTATGTGCTATGTGCCTTGTAAAAATGTAAGGCTCGAAATGGGGGAATTATTTCCATGCAGGACCATAATGTGTTTCATAATGCATGCTTAAATCCTCTTAGGCTGCTTGATGTAGTCATTTTGAAAATGACCGGGACATGTTAAGAGTGCTAGGTAGTTTGCCCTGGGCGCCAAAAGGGCTAGGACCACCCCTGCTTCCACAAATCTGACCAGCTTCCCTGATTCTGCTGAACAGCAGCATCCTCACAGCATGATGCTGCCACCAATTTCTTTTACACTGAGGTTAAAGTGTTCTTCACTAGTTTTTCTGTGCTCCTTGAACACAGAGGAAGGGGAATAAAGAGACACATTTTTTAAACTCAAGTTAAAAGCTGAGAGTAAAAAGACCTTTGATATCTCCAAGACGGGTGTCTTTCCTTTTTCTTTTGTTAAGGTGAACTTTGAAACATTTGAACACTAAGCAACAGCAGGTAGATAGTTGCAGCAGTGGGGCATAAGAAAACTTTAAATGTCATTTCAGCTGCTCCCTTCCAGGGTTTCCACAGCAAGTCAAAATGCCATGAACACAGGCGTATTACCTGTTTCACACCAGATTTCCTTCCTGTTACATTTCGAATGAAACAGATTGCTCATGTCAAAGATGCAGACTCACCCAATTTTATAACAGAGAGACGTCAGCAACAGAAAAACCCTAATTAATACCATAATAAAGATTTAAAATTTTCCTGACTCGGGGAAACAAAGGGCAGCTGCAGAGCTTAAGTTGGTCTCCTGAAAATCACTTTATTCGAGAAGTTATATTTGTTGGTGAATATTTGCACCTACGTGTCTATTTCTGCAGCTCAGCTGATTCTGTTTATTTCTCTTCCTGTCGGTTTAGGAGATCCGCCATGCCTTAGTAGGTCTGAGCTTGTGCCAGTGCCTCTTTCAATTAGGATAGTATAATATTTCAAATCTAACCCTGCTCTACTTCTAGAGGTGTCAACATTTAATATGTATTATTCAGTAGAAGTATAAATCCTACTGTTTAAAAACACTGTTGTAGAACTTAGAGTATCCACTAATGCGTTTTACTCAAGAAAAAATGTAAAAGTACACATTGTAAAACTACTTAAATTATAAGATTAAAACTAATGCAGTAAAAAATGTTAAAGACGAATGCTTTAAACCTTATACTGGTAACCGCCCTGCCTTATTAAAGAATTTGTGTTCTAGAAATCTGGATGATAACTTAATTTCCTTAGTTTTATAATTAATGGTTACAGTATATAATTTAACTTTGCATTATCTTAAAAAGCTATTTGTTTTGGTATGTGGAAAACAACAAGTTGGTGCAGTTCCAAGTCCAACTACAAAGAAATTGTCTGGATTAAACAAATTGTTTTGATGGGTTTTTTTTAAATACCAACAGGCCATAACATATGCATAAAAAATAACTAAAAGGAGCTTAAATAAAACAAAACTGATGAGTCTGTTTTTAAAATGTAAGGAGTAGAAATTGAAGATAATTGCAAAAAAAAATGCATTTAACACATAACTCCAGTAAAGCATAGATAGCCAATATTTCTACTGAAGTAAGATGATGAAGTATTTGTACTTTGATACTTGACACCTCTGTGTACTTTACTTTCCCTTTGACCTCTGCTGTGTTCCTCTGTGTTATTGATCTAGTTAGTAATTAATAATTATCTGAGATCTTGATGGATTTATATTGAGATGATTATACTCAACATATACTACAACATTTAGAGGCCAAAAAATGTCAGAAAAATCATTTTCTTTGGTGCAACATAGTACAGAACTAAAGTTTGTGTATAGAAAAATCTCACCAACATGAAAGAAAAGGTTTTGTATCTTTTTGAGTGTTTGAATCTTTTAACCTTATCCAGCTAATACGTCCAAATACGCACAAGAACTCAGTCACTTTTGCTTTCTTAAAGAAAAACTGTTACATTTTGTAGGTGACTGTCAGCTCCCCAGGGTAAAAAAAAAGAATAATCCACTTTAGTGAACAGTTATCAGTATGTAGCTTAACACATGGGACATTTCCCAAGACTGTTAGTGGAATTAGGTCAACTTCAGGGAAATCTCTGACAACGAGAACCAAAAGTTTAGATTAGAACATTGACAGAGAAGGTTCATGGAACTGCAGCAGTTTCCTTACATATATATATATATATATATATATATATATATATATATATATATATATATATATATATATATATATATATACATACTGTATGTTTATTAATTAAAAAGGAAAACAGTTAGACACAGAGAGGGCATTAATGTCACCAGCTGTCTTCATGCTCAGCGTATTGCAACAAAACACAACCTCCTCTTCAGAACTGAATAGCTCTAGGTTATCTTCAAGAAAAACAACCCTGTGACAACTTTCTCTGCTTTAATAACATCTTACACTTTCACACAGGGGCCCGCGCTCCAGCTGAGTCTGGAGCCAATTCTTCACGCCTCGCTCAGACAGTTTCCTTTCCTCCACGGGGAAACTAATATCACTCTCTGGAGACGACGCGGCACATCTATAAATTTCCCCTTTTTAGGGGGCAAATCCAATCAATAGTGCCTCAGCAGCTAAGAGGCTTCGCTTGTTTTTCCTGCCATGTCTAAATAATTCCCTCTGCTACGTACAGCATGAAGATTTATGAAGCAGACATGTGCTGTATGTTTGCATAACACGGCAGTGACAAAGCTATGAATAATTCGGATTAGGGCCGGGAAACTTATAGCAGACAATGAATTAGTCACCGACGCTGCTTACAGGAGCTTGCTCAAGTGGAAGTTACTCTTTGTTATGAATGAGTTTCTAAAGAGCAATCAATCCAGTAAAGTTACACAATGTGGAAAAGAACCAAAGGCATTTTTAAAGAGTGTTAGTGTTAGAAATATTATTTTACCTACAAAGCTATTATTGTATTTCAGAAAATGACTCGTTAATTTAGTGCATATACCATGTATATATTTTCTATGTTTGGAAAGTGAAACAGAGAATAAAAAACACACACACGCAAAGGTGAAGAAATTCTTGCGTATTAAAAAGAACATTTCCAGAGCGTCGTAAAATTCTTAACACCCCTGATGATAGGCACTTTCTTCTGCCACGGTACAGCCATTAGACTTTATAGTGATAGACAAAGATGACATTTTCTGTCTTCAAATAATTTTACAAATAAAATCTGAGGTCAGTGTTTGTGGAACAACCTTACAGCCATTGCTTAAACTGTGAGTGAAAGAGCAGTGAACGTTAATTTTGAATCTTGCCGCAGATTTTTTTTTATTTTTTATTTAAATCTGGAGTTTGACTGGGTTATTTTGACTCATTGCTGTGCTCTTTCCGTATGTTCGGGGGTTAATCTTGGATCTCCAACAGTTGTTTTTTTTTTTTTTGTCCAATCTTGCTTCATTTCTGCTGCTTTCAAATATATTATTTTATTATGTGGATGGTGATTCAAGGGTGAAAAACATTTAGCCTTCACCTGTTAGCTCATGCATTCAAACTTATGCCCAACATGTTAATTTTGGTCTTACTGAATGAGAAAATATTTATCAAATAAATTTTTTTTGATGTACGACAGTTTAGTGAAAAAACCAAAGCTGGTATTAGAAAGTTTCAGTGGTCTTATAATGGTCTTTCTTTAGATTCTTGCTATTGTAATGATGCTAATACATTTGAGAGAAGCAGCTCTAAGATGTAAGATGCTACTTTTCTAGCATGATGTCAACTAGGCGAGGTTCAGCTTCTACCAGGAAATAATTACGTTATCTTATTACATATGTTTTTATAGTATATATTCAAGTACTATTAAAATATATACAGCTGGCTGTATATTTATGC